CACTAACGGCTTCTTTACAACAAAATCTCCGGCAAAGCCTTTCTTCCAGAGATGGAGATCTGTGCCACAAATGCCATTACTTTTGAAAATATAAATCTATTGAATATCTATTGAATTTGTTTGATATATCACTTTATAGTACCTTTTAGACTGCAGTAAACATTCTATAAAATAGTAAAATTTTTAAGTAAATTTAATTTCAAAATCTAATCTGAATTATTAAGGTATTTGAAATTAAGTATATATTGGACATACCATGTGGTCCCAACTTGTCATCCAGGGGCCAAATCTCAATCTTCAACTCATTGGCCTTATGAAGAACCAGTGCTTTATTATCTGATTTTTTAAATCCTTTTAAATTGCTCATTTTATTTTGGATTTTTGGATCTTACTATATATGTCTGTCTGTAAATGTCTAACTGATTTTATTTGTCTTGATGTTATTGATTAATAATCATGAAAAAATAATAAATTTAGTAACTGTAATTTTAGGCTAAATAATATTTTAATTATTATAAAATGATCGTGCAATAATACAAAACTTTTAGTTCTTTGTACCATAAAAGCATGCAATTATTTATAACATACTGGTATATTGTTATAAGTTTCCATTACTTATTTTGCAAATATAGTAAGTTATTATAGACTTATCAAGTTCATTTGGTCAATATAAGGAATTCCAAATGAATTAAAATAAATGAATACTTTATTTTTAAATAAAAAATGTGTTTAAGAGATCAAAGAGGAATTATTGATTGAATCAAAATCAAAATACGATTGAATTGTATTTATTGGTTCTTCAACTGAGTGTGAATTAGTATCCATTGATTCTGCCATTGAATACAGACGTGATCTCATGGGCCACTTCTGCAAATAAATATAAAATTAATGAATGAGGCAGTTCATCACAAATACGGTATTTAATACCGGGTATTATAAGGTAACTACTGTACAGTATAGTAATCACAAATGAACAAGTAAGTTACGGACACTTTTCTTCCATTTAGTTTTAAACTTTATTTTTTTATAAATAAAATTGTTTAATTGATAAATGACTTGAAATTCAAAGCATAATTTTAATAGCATAAAGTTATAAAGCAAATTAATTTGTAAGAATTAAAATTATAATACAGACGAAACCAACTTTTGAATTATCAGAAGATAAATGTTTGTGATATAAAAACTTCAAATAAATATAATTCAAGAAATGATAACATACTTTGATTGGATGCAAAAACTTGAGGTCGCATTCAAAAGCGGTGTTGACGTTCACATCGTTGTCTTCATCGGTGGCAACCATTTTACTGAGATATGAGATGTAATTTGTGGCCAAAATAAGGACATCCAGTTTAGAGAGCTTTGTGTTGGGCGGCACTGAAGGCAGACAGAGCTGAAGGCGTTGGAAGGCCTGCCGTAAAC